TGTTTGGCGGGAAATGCAAATGCATTACCGTTTCTACGGAACAAGTCGTCACGTGTTCCAAACCCCAGGGCCAGGAGACTGTGTTCGTCAGACCTCTAACCATTGACCAACCTGGTATGAGAGACTCTGTGAGTGTCGCGGGACACTCTCCAGTATAGCTCAATGGATCGTTGAGGTGCGCAAACCGTCACACCACGGTAAGGTCCAGTCTCTTCGTGACGGAGGCCTCAACTGCTGTCTAGGCTTGGGCAAGAGGACAGTATCTCAGTCCTCGTGCTTCCTTCGGATGGCATGACAGTTATACAATGGAACAGCAATACAGCTTAACTATTTACGGTAACGAAGCATCAGTGTTGAACATTGGTCACGAAAACGTATAAGTTGCTTATTTTGATGTTCGTCTTGAAATGTCATATGACGTACACACTAGTGAGCGGTTTATGCGCTGTGTTCCACACTAAGTGAAAAAGATGGCCGACAGAACACCCTTTGCTGTATAAGTTTGCTCAAAAGAGTCACTGTTTCCAAATAATTTTTCTCGGGAATCGATTGCATGTGCACCAGCAAAATCGAAACATCAGGCATTCTATCCACATGGTGCGTAATTACTTAAATTCCACGTGTTCAACTGCAGTTTTTGCAAGAAGAATGGTGTCGCAAATAGGCCACAACTTTTGGGACTTGCGCTCTTTGCATCAATACCACAATTGATTTGTGTTCGGTCATTCTAAATAAGTAGACTGACAGGCACAACAGCCTCATAATTTGGTTTTTGAAACGAGGCGAACAGTTTTCATTGCGTAAATTCCCAGATTTCTTCGGAATGCATGTGTGTGCACTATCGCACTCGTTGCAGCATTGGTTATTCCCAGCATTAGCCCGTACGCTCTGCAATCGAATGCCAACTCTCCTACCTAACACACCATCTCTGTGTGCAGTAACTCCATTGAAAGGGACCAGCACAGTGGGGAACCTCATATTTGGTCGTGGTTATTGGGAAACTGTTGTGAAGTTTCCAGTAATGATTCTTCCTCCCTCGGGGTTGTCCTATTTGAATGAGCACTAAGAGTGACATGACATCTGTCGCCTGGAAACTTCGTTGATAAGCTGCTTTGCCTTCGCATTCAAGTACCATGACTTGTCAGTCAGATGTGACTGCGAGCCATCGATTAGCCTGAGTCGCGTATTTTAGTTTTTTTCCTAAAGTTTTTTGTTGCGTGCCAGCAAACTATCTGTTGAAGTACTTCATTGGTTTTTCGGGTGATTTTAGATTGAAAATTCGTAGACCAGTGTCGCGACCACAAACGATATGACTTGCGAAGCGCGTGAGGTGAACATCTGCGTATACGTCATGCTTCTGCCGGCTGATATTCAGGTCGATTTCACTGTTTCCTGAAAGTCAGACTTACCGACTTGCGTTGTGTGGTCTCGCGCGATCTACTTTTTTGATCTACGTTGTCATACTATGTGTGGACAGTAATTGTAAGCTCAACGTCAATACTACAGAGGAGTACACGTATGTAAATTACCTTTCTATCAGTCCAAAAGACGCAAGTGGCTACTTTAATCAGCTCACCTCAACTGAGACGCAATCGAGTCTACGTCACCAGGTTGGTGTTCAACTTCGCATGTTAGTGATTTAAACAATAGTCCATCTCTTTGTTAGTTCGGTGTGTTTTGGCCGCACGGAAGCCCGTCCCCTCCCTGATCGTTTAGCTGTAAAACCATTCCGGTGCCTAGCTTCCATTCCACTCGAGTGAGGCTAAGATACTGCCAGGTTGCCCAAGCCTAGACAGAAGGCGTTGGGATGCAAGGGTCTGGTTCTAACCACGGACGTTCTGGTCAAATAATTCGCGCTGCAATCAATGGTCTATCTCGTCCAGCGATTCCATTGCTTGTGTACTTATTTCTGTTTACCTGTCATTCACTGGCAACTCTGACAGCTCCGCCATTAATCTTATATCAATGCGCTTTTATTCTAGCGATTACCGCATCAATGTCAGTGACCCAGTAGGAAAAGTTTTGGGAATTTATCCAGCCGGTCCCTCCATGTCGACTGCAATGGCCCTACTAGTGACTGCACTGCTACTCAAGCTTCTCCTGACGGTATTCACCTTTGGCATCAAAGTTCCAACCGGCCTGTTCATTCCTTCCCTGGCTGTAAGTCAATTTGTACTGATTCCACGCATCATCCTCTTATACGCTTCTTATGAACTTTTTGTCCTCCTCATTACTTACCCCTTGTATTCACATTTTATTTGCTTATCTCTACGGCTACTCGTGGTGCAGTAGATTATACTGTTCAGTCGCATCTTGATTTGCATTTGAAGAACGCTTATTTGCTTTACCTTTTCCAGTGGATAGAGGAAACCTTCGATGATTCGGTAGCAAAGTCTGTTGCTGATTCACATTCACCATACTGAAGTCCTCGACTATATATCCTTCTAGACCGAGTAAAGAGCGCCACTGACGCGTACTACCATTCTGCTTCATTTCCTTGCTGTTTAGTGCCCAGTTCCATTAAGTTCATCTATATCGCTAAGGTATTCATCCAATGGGCGAACCAAATATTGTTGCAGCAACTTTTTTCCACTCATTTTTTCCTTTCAGCTTTAGACTTTCATTGTTTTGTCTGTGTTTCATCCGTTGGCTAGGCTGGTGCCATAATGGGCCGTATGCTAGGCGTCGCCATCGAACAGCTTGTCGTCACCAACGCCAACCATCCGTTCGTCACTAGGATGTGTAAATCTTCTCAACCGTGCATCAACCCCGGTCTGTATGCCATGGTGGGAGCAGCCGCCACTTTGGGTGGCGTGACCCGCATGACCATTTCTTTGGTGGTGGTCATGCTGGAACTGACAGGCGGGTAGGTCACATTTACCTTTGACGTAAACTTACTTTCGCTACTTTGGTGTCCGATCTTTGAACAGTTGCTGTGCATTTGTTTTCAAATGGGTCCAGGAGGATGTCTTCCTCCGATCTGGTCTAAATATTCATGGATCCTTAACTGTCCCGTCTCAGATAACGGGTATTAAAGACTGAAGATCCCGATTTTCCGATCTACTTCTCATGTCTAGTATTAAGTAGACGCTATGAACCTCGGAAAATAATTGTGCATCACCTTCATCGGTCAATTTCGTCAGACGGTTTCCTATGTCAGAAGAAGAGCTGGAAATTTCACAGCGGTTGTTCACCATCGGTTTCAGTGTTGACTCGGCTAGTTTTTTTTCCAATGCGTTCGTCCGTTTGCTTATTTACAGGTTGGTCTGCTCATGCTGACCGTTATAATTTCTACAACAAGTAGCATTTATCGCGCTCATTTTATCTTCCTGTGAAAATCACATGATGACACTCATCTGTGCACTTTCTGTCAAATGAGACCAACGGTTGATTCATACAACACTGACTATTGGGTCAGCTGAATCTACCATGCCAAGGGTGACCGGAAAGATGTGCAGTGCGCACAGTTCTGGTCAGCTTGTGGTCTATTAAGTAGCCTATTGGGAGAGGACTACTTTGGACAGATGTGGCATGATTAGTGAGGAAAAAATTCTAGCACTTGGTTCCTGCTCTTTTTACCTCACTCAATGTCCAAGCGGCTCAACTGCCTGAGGGAACCTGTCAGTTTGGTGAAAGTGATTGGTTTGGAATCGTTCATGCGTCCCGCTGTCGGAAAATCGATTTCCTGTGGTGTAGCCAAATCTTCAGGTAGCCAGAACCCTGCCACATCGTACAGACAGGTTCCCGTATTCGAGAACAGTGGAATCCGTGATCTCGAGCACATATCATAGATTGTCACGGGATTGTGTATTCAGAATGCGCCTCCGGATTTAGGTGTTTATAAGCCTGGATTATTGTTTGACAGTACAGTTTAGAGTAAACCCTGACACCTATCCGTTCAGCCACCGCCACCTGATTTATCAGTCATGGGCTTTCGGTTGGTCAGCCCTTACTCCCTCAGGTTCTTTCTAGCTTAGGGGTAACGTAGATACCCTAAACTTCGCGGAAACTCCGAGCTGCATGTTGCACCGGGATTCTATTGGTACATTTTTTTCTAGAACAGGGAGATCCTATATGTTGCGGATCGTGAAGGCTGACTAGTTAGGGCGACCTTGATCGTATAACCACATAATGTTTAGTGTCTGCGTATGTTTTTAGATTTTCCTATAGGTCTTTACAGCTTGTGCTCTACTTATCCTCAATCATATGCTCGCCCAACCAGGATATAATTTTATCCATGGTAACTGAGATACTGTCAAGCGATCTTTTTTTATCTGGTAGGTTAACGTTAGCTATATATGTTCTATACTATACCATCCTGTCACTCTATTGCTTACCAGTACGATCGTTTCTGATTTTCATCTCTTGATCCTCCCTTAGCTTGTGTCCAAAACATTCCTGTTTTCTTGTGCGACTTCCATGGATCACTCAAAGTCAATGGCGACAAGTTGGCCTCCTTAGCTTAACCAGATTTGGCCGCCGAACTTTTCAGAATGAAAAAGAACTGCTTTCTCGCCATGTGAATCATCCCATTTAGCTGTTTTCTGACCCGAATTTTCGTTCCCCTTTTTTCCGTAAACTCACTGAGGGAAATTATCCTATTTTTTCTCAAATCTGCCTTGTAGTTTAAATTACATCATTCCACTGATGGTAGCAGCCATGGTTAGCAAGTGGACAGGTGATCGGCTCACCAACGGTAGTATCTACGAGGAGCACATTCGTCTAAATGGATATCCGTACTTGTGTGGACATGATGAGCTGGAACATACTTGGATTGCGGCCGACGTCATGCAGCCAAGGTAAGTGAATTTCGGTCGGCTCACGAACTTTCAATTTGTATGGATCTGATGCACAACCTTAATGCTTTTTCATCGATCACTTTTCAACGTTAAACGTCCTGGCATGAAAATATGAATTCCTTCTTTTCACAGTGACCCCGACTCTCCACTTCTTGTCCTCACGCAAGATGGCATGACGGTAAAGGATTTAGAGGCTTTACTTTCTCTGTCGGATGTTAAAGGCTTCCCGGTTGTGGTATCACAACACTCCCTCTACTTGGTGGGTTGGGTAACGCGACGTGATTTGCGTTGGACTCTCGGTAAGTTTCCCTCGCGCTGTATGTTTTCAACGCGGTGAGTTGTAAGGTGTGCCACCCATATTTCACCCGTATTCCTTGCCACCAAAAAAGTAACTTTGTTTCTTGTCATAATACGCAGTCATGGAAGTCCGACTATTTTGTGTAGCTGACCTATGTGCTAGCGCATCAGAGTAGTGTCTAAAGCGCAGCTACTTATTGAATTCTGATTCAGCGTCGCTCTTGTTGATGATTTCCATACACTTCGTTTGATAAACCTACAATCGTGGACTTCATCCTAAGTTTGACACAGATGTGCACTGCCCAGGTGTTTGATGCTCATTTCGTGCCGCCGACCTCTCGGAGATTCAAACTCTCACCCTTCTTAATGAGAGTCTGAGCATCGTTATTCAGCCACGGCTGGATAGCCGCAACTAATAAAACCTAGAGAACGACAAAACGATTCTTCCTGATCCTAAATGGTGTCACTGTATTAGGGATAGGACATATAAGGTAGAGGTGGACATTTGGCAATATCACAGGATCTTCATAGTTGTTCTACACGCGGTTTTTCTTCTTTTGCGCCAGTGGTCTTCCTTAATAATCCTAATTTTCATCATACACTCGTCATTACACTCCCTAGTTAACCTATCACAGCTGGCACAGATCAGTTCTACTGAATTTACATTTGGATCTTTTTGAAATTCTTTTCTGAACAGATCGTGAACGCCAGTTAGATACTAATATCGTGGAAGACTCGCCCGTTTATTTCGTATCCTCAGCTGACATTGCACCGGATGATTCTGATCTTCCCCAACTCAATTTGCACAGCATTGTTGACCTGGTATGTTTGCCCCTTATTTGCCTTGCCATGTCTTCTTACTTCTTCCCATTTCACAACATCCACAGCTAAGCTGACTTAATTTCACCACATATATCCTGTGTTTTTGAAGAGTATTGTCAAAACACTAAGGGTAAATACAAGCGATGGATGTGGAAGGGTTACAGGAGAATATTAAATAAACAGAGAAGCGTCCCATTCGAAGTCATGCCAGCAGTAGTTCCAGTCAAACAAGATGAACGCCAACGTATGCAGGAATGTTTGGGATGAAAACACCCGTATAAAGGCCCACAGCCGAAGAAAGAACAATCAATAGTGAATGCTCTTCAAGGCGTGATAAGCGCTATCACAGTCAAGACTCGTACATCAGGCAAAAGGCCTGGTATGGGAATCACTGGCAAGATTTTACACTCAAACCCCATGTGCCACACAGTCAGTCCACAATGGCAAGCGAAAACATGTCACCTTAAGAAGTCCCAGTCCAATAACACCCTTGCCGGATTGAGGAAAGCAGATCCCTCGATAAGAGATGATCATTGCTTAGTGGACCAAAAGTCGGCATCACACTCGATTGCACGTCGAACTGAGATTATAGCGGGGAAAATATTTATCAGCATCACACTGCTGCTTCTCCACATTCCACACAGTCACTCCGCGCCCATCCGGGACGTCTTTTACCGCTCTGACTTCCTAGTTCTGTTAACAGTCACACGAACCTTTGTGTGTCTAAGTTCCATTGACAAATCGGAAATCTCACTTGACTGCTGTCACCACTTTAGGCTAAAAGCGCGCTTCCTCAAGCCAGCACCATACAACTACTGTCCTTTTCTGCACTGTTTTAACGGTATGTTCTTGTTTTCTTGTCTCTAGTCCCCGACGACTGTAACAGACCAGACACCAATGGATACCGTTTTGGACTATTTCCGTAAATTGGGTCTACGCCAAATTCTAGTAACACACAACGGGTATGTTTGAGCTTTTTTATCTTGCTCTCTGATCTCAAAGGAAGTACCAACTAACAGACTGTTTGACCGCCTAACTTTTTTGGTTTGATTCACCTTTCCGCAGGTTTTAAGGTTGTCCTTTATAAGGAATGTGTGCTCTAAATGATTGATCCGTCCACGCAGTTTTTAGACAGAATGTACGACAAATCATATCATTTGATTCACGGAATTCGGTTGATTCGTGCGTGGTGCAAAATAGTAGCCAAAGCTTGTGGTCCCGGATAACCTAAACCAAGTCTGGTGCATTTTTTATATCCCAAAGTTACATTTGTTCTTAGTAGATGCAGCACTTTGCTGTCACCCGGTGACAATGGGTAGCGAAGTTGACTGCATCACAAGGATTAATCAGAAGTGGTGATATCCTGAGTGGTTACTGAAAACCCTTTGTTGGCCCACGGCCGGTTTCGCCCTTTTTGATTTTCATCACATAGGTGCAGCCCCGAAGCGTCTCTCAACCTTATGTCTTACTTGAACCCGAATTGCAAGTAATTCGCTAAATACACCCATTTACGCACCAATTGGTTTTAACAAGAGGCTCAGTTAGATCCCTCGTCTACCATATTCTTCAAGTGACGTGCTTCGGACAGATCATTCCGTGTTTCCCTCGGGGTGATATTCAATTAGAACGTTGGGTTGATGGAAACACGGAGAATGCGCCCAGTTGATGGGCCGCACGAAGGACAAAACTGACCTTAAGCTGTCCAAGAATCTCCAGCAACCTTGTGAGAATGGTGCATTTCATCCAGACAATGTACTACGATATCTCGAATGTCAGTCCAGATGGAACATGAGGTGACTTGTGTTTGGTCGAACGGTAAACTAGAGCTTCAGCTGTGCTTCTGTTGAGTTAAAACCAAATGCACTTGAAAATGAGTGTATTTCCCGAAACGAGGGATTTTCTTTCATCTTGAACAACTTGGTTTCAGGATATCTCAACATCTGCATACTTTACGAAAGGTCTCCCCACATGGCCTAATGTTTTCCATACACAGAAGGTACAATGTAGCTGCTCTTTTTGCAGCGATCCTTGATGTACATGCTGGTTTCTCTGACTCTGCAGATTTCTTGGTCATCTTGCTGTCGGAATAAATGGGCATGGTTACCCTAGGCCTAATATCGGTGTTGTGCACTGCATCCTTTGGCAGTAGTACCATTTGTCATGACACACATAGTTTCTTCCACAGGGTGTAAATGTGCTTTAGGGGCTCGATTACGCTGTCCCCAAGGCTTCAAGATGTGATTGCATCTACTGTACCTGCAGCAGACTCTCCTTTGCCGGACCGCTTAGTTTCTTTAAATATGTGCATGTGTTCCACAACAGCTCAGTCCGTCGATTGGGTGACTGTTCCATCATTGTTGCCTATCCCTGGATAGCATCCTTGGTTTTTTTAGCAACTCTCCATCGTAGACTTACCACCGGTTCGGATCACGTAAAGGATGCATTAATTGTCCTCAGCTATACAGTGTTCATATATTGATTTGTCTTGAAATGTTTTTCTTTTTCACTACAGTCGTTTGCTGGGTATCCTGACGAAAAAGGACGTCCTTCGACACTTTCTTCGTTATTCCCGTGTAATTTAATCGTCTCAGTCATTCATACTGATTTCATATAACTTGAGTTCTTCATATTCTTCCATGTTTTCATCTACTCTGATCATATATGTCCGTCCGTTCTTCATCCGAATTTTCACCGTATTTCTTTTTTTTCATCTGCCGTGTGGTTTGGTGTACAACTGAGTGTTGTTTAAACTTTAACAAAGCGATGCTGTCGAATCCCATATTTCATTTTTTTTTGCACATTCTTTGTAGTTGTCTCTGAGAGCCTCAACTTCTAATCACCTTGTTCTACTGCTCAACCGCACCTACTGGCTACTTCCATACCGGCATTCACTGAACACACCACAGGATGATGTCAACCAGGCAGTTACACCAAGTCCAACAGGCTTGCCTAAAAAACCGTCCCGTTAGAGAATCCTATAGCCACTAAGTCATGAACGTGGAGATGATTCTACAATTGAACATTTCAACAAGTCGGAACATTATCTGCCAAGCGTTCTTGATAGTATTTTGGCTATTTTATAGGTCCTAGGGATAGGGTGCAAAGACGATGTAAGAACTATAATAGTTCTGAGATGACGTCAAAGTATCGCCTCCCCCTGGATATAGCAATTTGACAAAGAACTAAAACATCAACTTCAGATGGAGAATTTCCACTGATTCACCCCGTTGTGCAGACGCTGACGTGTAGTAACTTGGCGACTTGTCGGGTATTCATCAACGTCCTTTTCAGAGGTCGCTAGTATTGGCTGCTTGTTATACGCCTTAAATTGTCACCAGCTTGGACTGTGGGTGGATAAATTGCAATCATCATTGGATGTCCAGGTCTACAGCGGCGTTTGTATGGCTATCCTGTTAACTGCAGCTGTTTCATACAGCGTTGCACTTTACCTTGAACAGCACGGCTTGTACCAAACTCCTGACAAAACGATCCTTTTGTTAGTTTCACGCACGACGGATTTTACGTTGACATGCTGACAAGCTTCGAGATGTTTTTGGCAGGCACTTAAAGCTTGGGGTTTTGGACAAGCAAGATTGTGTCACCAAATTATTATTACCGCATTTTTGGATATGCCTAGTTTTTGGCGTCCTCGGTCTTTAGGTGCTGCGCGTCACTCAAGTGGAATTCCTCAAACGTTGGTCGTATTCAACAACGCCCTATGCACCCAAGGTGACCGGCGGCCATTCATACTTCGTGTGCTTTGTGCCCAAATTAGACCCTACATCAAGTATGCCTCCGATGATCTGGAATCCCTGAATGTGGGTTAAAATTTCCAGTTATGACGATTTTTTTAGAAACAAATGGGGAGTATTCGTTGAGAAGTCTTTTTTAATTGCGCTTATCGTCAACTGGTGCATGAACAACTAGAATGAAAAAACAAAGTGGTTGGCTCTAACCGGTGTGAGTTTTTGCAGGAGCGGACGGTTAGGCGGCTGTTCAGTCGAATAAGGAGACCAAACCTGGAAGTGGGGATCCAGGGTAGTGCCAGCTCGAGCACTTTTTCACCTACAAGATTCCCTGAGGTTTGCAGTCGGCGAAGCTTAGACGGCAGAGGTTGCTCAAGCTTAAACGTTCTAACGGGGTGAAGACAATATCCAGTTGGACAAACACTGAAACCGTGGCTGTTGTCCAATATCGTGTACGCGGTCGCATTTGGCGCGGGTTGGCTCTCCTTTTGTTCCCGGCAATTTGTTTATAGTATTCCAGTTACTTTTATGGACTGCAAGCATTAAACATTGATTCCGAAACGAATGCGAAGTTGTAACTTTCGGATTCTTTGACAGAGAAATTTCACAGACTCAGTTCACGTACAAATGACTGGCTCGGTGCTCGCCTCCAAGTGTAGAAGGCCAGAGATCGTCACTTAAAACGCCTGGATTCGATACCATAAATCCAAGTGACTTCTTCTTTCTTGGAATCTGGAAATGCACAAATGTATTTAACTAAAAAATATGCAGGTGGATTGCACTGAGCATGAACATTGACCGCCAATTACGAAACATCACATCTGATCAGTGTGATAGCCATTCCCAGCTGTGTTTTGCATTTTAAATAATTGGCCATGCAAGACCGGCGTAGACTTAACCCATTACATGAGTTTGCATATTTTTGCAGCTCTACCATTTAGTTATCTGGCTTGTTGTATTGCTTCGCCTCCTCTATTCAATTCTATCATATTACTTTCTCGGAGTTTTTGGTGTGAACTGGTATGAACTGTGCATCCTACTAAATACAGATTCACCGCCCTTTTGTCTTCGCATCTACAGCTGATTGGGGCACAAATTTACTACTTCCGGATTGCCAGTAGCCTGAGGAATATCAGCGTTATGAACCTCATGTAGTGTTCATAGAGGCAGCTCTTTATCGCACCCCTGTCTCACAAGCTGCCCGTATCGGATTGCTTCTATCCAGAAATCATAATGGCAGCTGAGTTCTTCAGCCCTTGTAATAGACACATTTCCTTGAGCGAATCTGGTTATCCTGGTCGCTTACGTGCAGCAGCACCACTCTAAAGCTTCATTATGCCAAGTGAAATCCATTATGGCTTGCCTAAATATATTTCCTCATTCTTAGACGGTACATTAAATAAACTAATAACAAAAATTCTCTGTCTAGAGCGCATAGATACACCCCTATGTATGTGTATTCAAAGACATTTATAAACTACTTCTCTGAAACACCGTTAATTACAGATTCACGATGTTAAATCTGCCTCAATCTTCAAACCTCTAGATGAACTTAGGCTCCACTTTTCAAACATAAGCGGCTTGCTCGCCGATTGTTATAGGTTCACCCAGGCTCTTACGCACCGCCATACGGGCTGTGACCATTTATGTTCCCTTTATGTTTAGGAACTCTTTTACCTGTATAGACCAAACGTCATTCTTTTGCCACACAAATTCCTTTGGAAAAATACGGATGTGCGTTCATCTCGTTGCTGTGGATCTCAGGAAGATTTTAGCACAACGACATGTATAATCCGTCAATTTTAGTAACCTCAGATTCCGCCTGCTCAATGGAGTCAGTGCCGCGTTCATACCTGTGGACCATCTTACAGTGTGAATGGTGGTGTACTTTGGCAACCCCCAGAGCCGTACCGGAGACATATACACAGCATTCCCAGTCTCTCATAATAGGTTGATCATACGTAGCTATCAGGCAAAATAATAATAATAAATAACGTCCCACCAAGTAAGAGATTGGAACAAACGTGGAGGTTCTTCTTTGAAGTTTGGGTCAATTGACTGGATTCCACACCACCACCACCGAGTTTTGGTCAATTTTTAACCCAGTCAACTTGAGTGACGACCCTGATCGTTCTCTTCTCCAGGTTTTGGTATCCAGGTAATATTGTTTTCCAAATACATGAAATTCACAGATAAATGTACGTCCGTGCCCACCGGCCATCAACTGGTAACATCAGTCCAGTTGCCAATTCACTGCATAAATTGAGTTGAATAAGCGAGAAATTGCGACTGATATCTCCCAAACCCTCTCATGGTTACAACTTTAATCTCGACGCGTTTCACTTGTCAACCACAACTACGTAGACCATAGCTTCATTGATGTCCGCAGCGCTTCTATGGAACTGATACATTGCACGTCAGTCATCACATCTACCGCGCCTCTTCTGCATCCAGGCCTCGTTCTCCTGCTTTTACAGCAGCCTTTAATGTGGAAAATCTTAAATAGATCGGTCTAAATGCTGCATTTATTAGTGTCGGGTCTTTTACGGATGCCAAGTACATTACATTTGCTGTTTTTACGGCCTGCTCTCTACATAGATACTACAGGCCACACACTATGAGTCTTCAGAAGTCTATTGAGGCCAAATGACCCCGCGACGGCATTGCCCTAGTTTTCTTCACCCAAGGCAGCCGATTCTGTGCCATCTGAATTTTTGCTTTGATAAAAAATGGCGCTAAGTTAAACACTAAACCCTTCTTTGTGTCCACTTATGCTTGGTCGAATTGTGGCATTGATTCGGTGAAAGATAACTGCAATCGGGAAGTGACCATTTCACCGCAAAGAGCCCGAATATAGGCAGAGTAGCAAATGTTAGTACACAGGTGGAAACCGTAAGTTCATCGGAATCTCTCCTCAGTTGTACATTTGGCCTGAATGCCAAACGCAATGAACATAATTAAAGAATTCTGCAACTTTATGTTTCTCAGTAGTAGTATATGGACTAGTATGGATGTAGTATATGGACACACGGCAATTACGATAAATAGCTAAAGTAGTTAACATCCAGTGGAGTTATGAGCATAACAGGTCTTCATATTAGGCTATTACACGTAGTTGAAGCCTCATCTTTTCCAGTCTGCATAGATACTGGTCTGGTACTCGCCATAGGTAACCAGATGAACAGCAACGCGTACAGTCATGGGTACGAGAGGCCATCGTTGGCCTTTGGATTATGTTACCGTGCATACGTGAGACCTTATAATCGGTGTTGAACATAGGTAGAAGCCTAGTTGCTACGATAGTAGTCGGGACAGGAGACAACACGTACGGTTATTGGTAAGAAAGATCATCTTTCGCAACTGAATTAGGCCACTGTGCATAAATGAGACCTAGTAATAAGCGTCACACATGGACACGGACCCAGAAGTTACCGTAGCATTTGAGGTGAGTGACAACGGCAACCGTTATTACGGTGACCGGCAATTGATGACCTCAGTTACCACCATTTTATTTGCGCTTTATGAATCTTTTCACCTACGGATCCCCAATAGGAATGATACCATTGTCTTAGTGATTTACACGCAGGTTTCTCATGACGCTTTATTATCCATAGGCCAGTTGTGCATATCTAGGAAATGGGATCAGCCGAAGAGATAGCCCTCGAATCGCCACAACACAAATCATTCAGTTGTCTAACACTGTTATATTCAACGGTGTTCGCTGAACAGACTCATCTCATTAGTTAAATCTGTGTGCGATTTTCCGGGGTGGAAGTTACAATGGATATTTTGCAGACGTGATGCAGCTCTTAAAGAAAACTGAAGGAGGCTAAATTATGCTAAAGTGCGCTTTCATGACTGTTCTTTCATAAGCCGGAAGCGAAATGTGAGTCGGTGATGGTTCGCTCACTTAGCAACATATCACCGAAATGTGCAAGTGGATTGGACTAACCTCCAGTAAAAGCAACAACTTGGAAAACCCTGTAATTTCGGCTGAAATAATTTGGATGTGCTTTCAGTGAGCGGCCTGTGATGTGCACTTGGTGGACACGTTTTCAGAGTACTAGACCAAACTTTTGAGCCTCATTCAAGCATCCCGAAGTCTCAGCGATGCTGGGAAATTGTTGCACCAGAATTTCCCGCCAGAGTTATGTTTCTTTCATTGGAAAATGAAATTTGGTGAGCTGGAAAACTGCGAACGTAGATTAAGGTACGTTCGAAATCG